CAGTTTTAACTTAACTGTTATTCTAAGAATTCGACAATGCGTTGTTAAAATCCCCAAAATGGCTAAAAGATAATTAGTACACATGCAGGCATTTCTGTGACATGGGTTGCACACAAAATCACATTCCTCTGCATCTCATTTAATTTTCTGGCCTCTTTGACAGAACTCTCAGAGACAAGACAGCATGATTTTATATTAAAAAATGTTTATGTTTCATACTCACATCGTTGCCTGGGATCCAGAATACACACTCCTTGGACTTGACAACTCACATGCAAATATATATATATATATTTTAATCTTACTGTATTTATTTGATTTATTTCATAGACTTATTATTCTTTTCATTTCCTTAAACTATACTTCTGCTCTTTTCAGTGATGCATATGGAGTTTCATGCACATTTACTCTAATTGCTGGCTCAGCCAACATGTCAATTAAGCTTTTACAAATAAGGCTATAATTAACATGAATTAATTGATAGGCTGAGTGAATAGCAATTAGTATAGTGAGAAATAAAAGGCCTCAAGTACAAAACTGACTCATAGTGGTTAGTTTTACTCTTTTTTGGGGAGATGAGGAGACTGAGTGAAACCATGTCACTATCAATCTGGACTATGAATTATATGAAAATCAGTACAAATGTCACAGTATTTTTTCATTAGCAGTTCGTTCTTGGCTTCCATGTTTAGGACCAACTGATCACATCACTGATGTAGACCAAGGCTGATATTAAGATCTCAACAACACTGATGCCATTTACTGTGAACAAATCACTGTATGATAAAGTCTTGTCTCCCCATTAGATAACATCTTCATTTTAAAAATAGTGATATTTGAATCAAATTTCTCTAATTAGGCTGTCAATAATCATTTGCATACCTTTCAATAATATTACATAAATTAAAAGTAAAATACAAACATGACTTTATAAGCTAATATTACCAATTAATTATGAAAAAAGTGAGCAATGACATGTTTTTGAGCCAATTAATTTTTCATTATATAATTAAAAAAGATAGCGTGAGCCCAAATCTAGGGTGTGTATTTAGTACAAGTGCAGCTTAAAAACTCAGCAGCTTGAACCCAAAAGCCACCACAGAGAAGACTTCAGGAGTTTCACCGTTGAGCCGTGAAATGAAAAGTAGCAGCTGATGTAGCAGCAGACCTGGTTGGTGTGGGGGAGGGTTGGAGCAGGCAGGCAGTGAGCAAAGAGAGGCAGAGAAAAGAGGGGGGTGGGTGAGCGGGGGGACTACTTTCTGTCAGCAGTGCAAGCTGTCCCCCATCTGTAACTTCATTTTTTGTGTTTATGGCTTATCATTATTATTGTTGTTGTTGTTATAATTTATCATAAACTTTTAAGAAAAGATAGGTTCCTTTTGACTATTGCCTCTGTCCATGGTGCTACTTTGATCACACTGGATGGTATAATAAGTTTAGTAATAAAAATGGCTTAATTCACACAGTCTAATGAATTAAGACCAAAGTATATTTACTTGGTCTTGGCCATTGTTTTAAAATTCACAGCACTGTTTTATTACATCAACTCTCAGATCACATATTGCTGCGTAAAACTCCTCCCTCTCGAGTCTATTCCTTCTTTGCAATGGCTTTTGTTTCTGTCACTCAGTTACGTCATCTCTTGTTCAACTCCTCATAGGTCCACACTTCTATGTCCCCCTGTCTTTCTGGTAACACTGTCCAATAACAATGACTCTGGAGGACAGAGGTAGGCAGTGCAAGAAGGGGGGCTAACAGGGGGTCAAGCTCTCAAAGGGGGGAAGAGAGCTTTAGTGACAATAACTGTCACTGTCACTAGTCAGTGTTTTTGCTATCAATGCTAAACTAAATAATAATATTATAACCAGTCTAGGCCATTCTCTGTCAGAATGTGTCTTTATTGATTTGGTATGAATGGGTTATACTGTTGGATACCATCTAACAATTACTGAACAACAAACAAAGCTACTTATGGCTACTTATAGAATAATTATTAGTTATAAAGAGTTCAAATTAACTTACCTTCAATATAATATGGCTATGAAAACATTTCTAAGCCATTAAGTGTAATTAATTGTGGTATTTTGGCAACAATGTTTTGTGACAGCAGAATTTCGTCATATATGAAAAAAAAAAAAAAGGTGACAGATCTACCAGATTTTTCTTACCCATTGTACAGCGTTAAATACTTTTTAAGTTGTGAGTCTCATTGCGCATGCGCAATCAGACCTCGGGCTCCATCCGGGAACTTAAGAATTACCATTGACAGCCAAAGCGCTACTTTTCTCCAGGCAAAGTGAAATCAAGCCGCGGACTCAGACAAAATATAGTTCCCGTTTTTCAACTTGAAATGATCTGATTAGGAGCTAACCTAGTTTTTTAGTGGACTTCCCCGCTTTCAGACGTAATTAAGAAAGGATACGCATGGGACCAAAGATCTGTTTGCTGGGTTTGGATCACTTTTTGAGACGGGCGGAAAGTGTGTGATGCGTCCTAGCTTGTAAAAGAAGCGAGAACTTGCCTTGCAGTCGGAGTAGTTCTTCTTTCAATTGTTATTGTCGCTTTAAAAATCTTCAATTCACTCAAACTTTGTTACGACCGCATCGAAAGTGGGAGAAAAGTGATTTTGTATTCGGAACATGGAACTACAGGGCCTACAAGAGGCGTTGAAAGTAGAAATCCAATGTCATCAGGTAAATGAAACATCGTGTTATTCTATCCTTATTGGTGTTGTGAGCAAGTGAGAGCAGTTGGGGATATCTGATGGGATGAAAGGTTAACACTCCGACTGAATAACTATGCGACATGCCGCTTATAATGTCTGTCGGTGACACGACGCCCCCTCCAAGTCTCATCAAGTGTACTTTTCACTGTACTTGGTCTTATTATTGCTGCTCTTTTCTCGATCAACAATATTTGGAATAAGGATGCGGTGGGGCTGTGTGGCGATCGGGACGCGACCTGAATATTTATGAGGCGTTTGAAACGGAGTCGTTGTGGTTAATATCATCGCTTTGTTCGTACCTTACATAGTCTACGAACTTGATGCACTTTTCTAACCTCCACATACTCGGTCATCGTGTAACTAGTTGAACAAATGAAATAATCTTACATCTTTCTTGACTGTGATCCTACATCGAGGCTTCAAACATCGGGCCACTGAATTGGGGAGTATGCGAGAAACTTTATCAGCTCAAATCTCTCCTCTTTCGCTCAGCCTCAGCGTCCCTATCTGTTTTTCTTTTTAATACCACATTTGGGTTCATTTTGCGTCTAGTTGAACATGGTTACTTTACATTAATGGCCTGATAAGTTTCTTCATGGTGTTACACTGACATTTCATTACGCTGCTTTGCTTGTGCGTTTGAAGATTGATAGAGGACTCAAGCATACGCTCATTTCTGTCAAAAACAGCTACTCTATATCAGCTACTCTATCTACTGTGGTGTCACAGATTTAACTCGGTTCAGGGAACGCATATTGCTTGTTTTTGACGTGTTGCTCTTACAGCATTGCTACCCAACTCCGTTTTCTCTCTCTCCTAGCCCCTGAAAGTTGTGTAATGTTGAACATTTTTAGCGTCCATTTTGAGTTGGTCGACATGTTTCTGGAGAGTAAGATTGGGTTATAAAGGGAACGTCCTAACTAACTATCCCATAACGACTTTAAAAGTCGTATTTGTCCATTTCAGCTTAAAGAAGCGTTATGATCGACACTAAGGTGTGTTTAAGTGTGTTACATCGCTCATCTCGATGGTTTTGTTACTTTATACTTAGTCGACTAGCGTTATTTCTTGGAGGTCACGTGATTCGGTCGGTGATTGTGATTCGCCCACGATCACGCTTTCACTTTTTTACTACTTCGTTTTTAACATTGATTTCCTACATTAACTTCGAAGCAACAGAGGCTCGTGTCTGGAGCTGTTCTGCTGAAAGCAGAGGCGAGGTGGCGGAGTTCAGGACCTCGGCCAGCTCCTCGACAGCTGCACCGCCCCAACCCGCAGCACCACTCTCAACTTCCGAGCTTCGCTGCTTTGTGTTTGTCGGATTGTCATAGGCAAATATGATGCAAAAAGCATTAACCATTAAAACGCCGTTTTGTTGTTCGTTTCTCTTGAGTAGGCCCAGTTCATAAAAAGCCTAGGTTAGTGTAGCAACAAAAAGGAAAAAAGGGAAAGAAACAACCATGCTAAATAAGACCACAGATTTTATTCTACAGCAAGACTGTTGTATTCAGTCTTACTGTTGTTAGTTCTTAATTATTACATAGTTGTTTATGTTGTAGTTTTGGCCAACCTGCTTCTTTCAGTTTTATAGTGGAAGCTTCCATTTTGAAGAAAGGGGTGGCCTCTCCCCTCCCCTGTAACATGGAGAGGGAAAAGTCTACAGAGTTTCATACTGGAGGAGGAGAAGGGGGGGATGGGCCCCATTCATGCCTAACATTACCATTTTGATTGCTTTGATGCTGTTTTTGGTTGGAGGGGGAGGGGAGTCCAGGAAAGAGAGAGCTAGAAAGCCCAGTCAGCACTGCATGGCAATGTTTTTAATCACTACAGATTTGTTTCTGTTTCGCAGCTGACTGTGACCCATGGATTACACAGCATGTATATCAACCCCTTTTATGTCATTTAGTTTAAACACAGAATTATTTGAATTAAGGGAACATGTAAAGATATGCTGATTCAAAGTAGAAGTAAACTGAATAAACATTGAACTAGTCCTGATAATAAGCTTTGAAAGACTGACTATTTACAAATTGCAGAACATTCTTGGTCAGATTGCATATGTGAACATTTCTTGCAGCAAAGGAGGGCTGGAGGTCATTTGATGGTCACAGACTGAGCAGGCCTGAGGCTGACAAGAAAGGATAAGTTTTAGAGTCAGAGAGAAAACATGGACAAATGCTTTACTGATGGAGTATGGGTTTTAAGGCATTACTTAACTTAGGAGTTTAGTCTCTGTGAGTAGACAATGTTTAATAGCAGACTGATTGTAAGAGCAGGAGTACAGACCACTGTCTTCTGCTGATTTATGGAAATGCAAATCAGGAATGGTTAGGAAATCACCAGATGCACATCTAGCACACAATACTTGGAATATGTTTGGCCAATGTTTTTTTTCCCCTTATTTTTGTCAATGCTTGTGCAATATATTATTGGATTCAGCCTCCCTGATCAGCCCTGAAAACTATGGTTTCACTAATCTGAGCCTTTCTGCTCAAATTGCTCAGTGTTGCATCATGGTTCCTTATTTTTGTTCCCTTTTCTGAGGCAAAAGCATTTCAACAGTATTTGAAGTCATAGTTTTACCATTTCAATAAGTGCATGATTAGTAAAGCTGGTAGCTTATTGTATCACTTAAATAACTGCATAGCAATTGTTGTTTCAGTTTACTAAAAGTATCTGTCAGTAGCACTTTTGTTTTGATTCAGAAAAGAAAAAGGAGGTACTGCTTAGTTTATTTCTCAGGTATGACTTGTAAAAGTGCTGTGTTAGTATGAGTTAGTATGTTTGGGATTCAGTGTGCCTGTGTGTGTGTGTGTGTGTGTGTGTGTGTGTGTGCTCGCTTTGAGATGTAACAACGTATGGGCTAGAAGCCTTCAGTCTATTATTAGTCAACTGAATAAAAAGAAGCCCTTATACGGTGAGGACAAGAAACAAGAAACAGTAATGGAGTATTTTGGACTTTTAATCATATTATAATCCCCTCATGGTAATGAAAGCTCTTTTGATGCAGTCCCAGCACAAACATGCTATTAAAATGTATTTGGCTATAAAAATTATCTATCAGTTTTATCATTCTAAATAATGACTAAAGCAGTTGTTAACAGAAAAAGTAGACCCACTGGTATTGTGAAATAGGTGCCATTTAAATAGTAATGTACAGATTTTTTGTTTTTGTTTCCTCTTTACCAACTGAGCAACTGTAGAGAAATTTCCATTATTTTATGTTTTGCAGATTGCTGCTAGTGAAGGTACAGGGCCTGTGGAGCAGAGCAACTTTCCCAGCAGCAAGTCCCACCAAATTCTCTAATCCCAGAGTGTCTCATTACACACTCCTGCTGTGGTGATTAAAGCAGCACATGTTTAGGACATTCTGAGGGACTAACTTGTGATCTTATAGAACAGGATCCCATCTCTCCTGGGGCTTGCACTTATTATAAGAAATATTCAGGGCTTTAAACAAATAGGCAAGTATTTATATTGTTCTGGTTTAAGCTACTAGAACACAAATTTAGAAGTGAGCTGTGATTAGTGTTAGTCATGGCACTAAGATTTGAAGATTAAACTAAACATAAATGCTAATATAAAAAGATGTTAGTAGTAGTTTATTTAATAATACAGTGTAGTCTTATTTTAGTACTTCTACTTAAGACATTCTAAACCTATGCAGGAAAAGTCAAAATTGTTGTTTCTGTATTGATACTTGCCCAAATGAGTTTCTAGTTTTCATTCCAGTATCAATTAGTATCTGGGTATTGATTTTTTTAACAACCGTTTCTATGATATTTTATTTTTTATTTTTTTCTTAGAGGTTCAGCTACATGATTAGTTCATTTAACAGAGAACATGTGAAACATAAAAAGATGCTTTACACCAGTTTATTGTTTATTGCTGTAATCAACACAACATTCCCTGAACAAAATATGAATGGCAAATTGCTTTAGGTTTTGGAACATTTCTGCAAAATGTGGTCCAGGTGAAATCATGTGTGCATGGAGGAGTATATTGAGCTGCAAATTAGCCCCAGTAGGACAAACTAAAGTCCTCATCATGAAGAATTGTCCTGGTCCAAACAGACTGCTTGTACTGCACAGTCACACCATCCTCACTCTGATTAAACTCTGTTGTTATTTCTCTCAGGATTCACAGAGAACATAAGAGGAGTCTGATTCTGTAGCCAAAGAAAGAGGACTGGACTGGAATGCCAAATAACTCAAGTCTGTCTGTCCAAACACCTCGGCTTATATTAGGAGCAAAATATATATTTTTGACTTAAAGAAAGTTTAGCTGGTTCAAGTTATTTTCACCCAAGCTTTAACTTGCATTAATGTTCTTTTAGACAAAAAGGGTTCAGCACTCAGGTGTAGTGAAGTGACTATGTCTGCAACAAACAATTATTTTGCTAATCAGTGAATCTAGTTATTGTTCTTTTAATTAATCAGTTAGTTGTTTGATCGTGAAAGCCCTTATAAATATACAATTTTTAATACATTTGTGATGCTGCTTGAGGCCAACCCAGGTATATTTACATACAAAACTGATTAACTATCAAAAACAGAAATTGAACATCATTATGATGTAATTATTGCTTTGTCTGAGTCATAAGACTTCATTGCATGGCATGTTTTAGAGCATAAAGATAACACTTATTAGATTTCTAATTGAATTACAATAATCTCTAATTATTTATCAGCTATCCCTAGAAGTGACATATGTAGTTTGGAGCCCTATCCAGATGGGTGTGCAGGAGATGGGTGGTGTGTGCTGCTGGTGGGCATAGGGCACTGAGAGCCTTGGCAGCAACAGCAGCGGAGCGACAGTCGCATGGGTTCACTCACTGTAGCCTCTTTGGTCCAGCAGTCTCAGCGCGGCCACATCAGCACTTTTCTTACACTCTCTGAAATCACTGTTTGCTTTCAGTACATGATTCACACAATGCCGAGACAGAAAGCAGCAGTCTGCATAAAAAGG